GATCCGGGGGCTCGGGGTCTCGGGCCTGGGGGCGGGGGGCTCTTGGGGGACCATCCCATATGCGGGTGGGGGGGTAGCAACACGGAACACGGCACCATATATACATATATAGGCCTTTCCATAGGCTCCATGAAACCATTCAGTCGAACCATGTACAAAAATGCCAAGGGTTTTGGGCGCTCATGGACAGTCATAGAGCTCAGAGATCCCGCCGAGCCTCACCCGCTTGGCCTGGGCAAAGTCGCCCCAGGGACAGTCGAGTACATGATAGGAAGAGAGTCCCGGAACACCTGAGGTCACGTAACCACGCATAGTTCTTTGACATATGGGCATGCATCTTAGTTAGGGCCCTTGTGGTGGCCATCATTTAGGGGGGGGGGTGTTATGTCCACCAACCACTTTCCAGGTGGTTCCTTCTTTAAATTTATGGCCATATGAAACAACTCCTTGTATGTGACACAGAAAGCAACAGAACAGCATCACCACAAGTGTGTTCAGCCACCCTTGAATCCCCAAACCTGGCTTGTCACCCACTAGAGCCCGTGGACCGTCATGGTTGTCGAAAACGCCGAGGCAGCTGGTGGAAAGTACACGGGGGTGGATCAAGATTCCTGGATCAATATTCCGGTCGGATCCCAAATGACCATGGGTAGCTTTTCCAATTCAGTGGAAAATATCATATGATGAGTTGCGTTGGCCAGTTGAAGATGCCTCTCTCCAAAACTCCGAATCTCCTGGGAAGATCCCCGAAAAACATAAAGAACTTCAAAGAATGTTTGAGGCTGCGAATGCAGCTTGAACCCCGTGTCAGCGTGCGCGTGTTGGAGATTGGAGTGTTTCCGGAAGTCTCTGAAGTCAAGAAACAGCATTGAAGGCGAAGAACAGCAGCCAAAAGACTGCCCGCTCCCCAATTTTAGGAAACATCCATAAACGCCGTTGCTATCAAGCGTACAAGTTCATGCAACACATTCATGTTGGCATGATAAGATAGAATGCCGCACTGCTTTTGGGCTAGCAATCAACTTGAGCCTCTGCCCCTCCAAAACTAATACAAGTGGCCGGAATGACACAAACACCATACGCTTTTGTTTATGACACATTTTGGTTATTAAGGACCCCAGAACCCCACTTCAACCTAGTAACCTCTGTGCGCCAGGCTGGTTGCATCTTGAGCGGCCGCTGCGATAGGCGCCAAGTTCTTTGACGCCCGTGCCAGATTACTGCAGTGAGCTGTGACAATTGGGGCGTCGTGTTGGATGCTAGATCTAGGATGCTTGGCAATGGAAGTGTTCCACTTCATCTGCCTGAGCTGTCCTTAGATCCCTTGCTAAAAGTTTAACTTTTAGTGGGTTATATGAAAATCCCCACTAGACACCAAAGAAAACGGCTAACACGGTAAGGGCAGGGCTACGAACCGAGATGCGACAATTATTTTGTTGTTGGTTCTGACTCAAAACAAAACCACAAAAGCCTGGTCTGGGGGTGGGGCTTGAGACTGCCTAGTCGGAGACTCCACATGCTTCACTTCCTGAGCCAATTGGCCCAATGAACTTGTCATTTACCACTAAGATGGTCCCCCCAAATCAGTTGAAGCAAAGAAAGTGGGGAAGTGAGTGAAAGCTGCTGCAAGAGGCAGGAGGACAACTTCTGCCTAAGCACAACACCACGGCCAGAGCAATCAAGTCTGTCATGGTTTGGTGTGGTTTGTCCGATCATGTTCGCAATTGGTTCCGCTGGCTTCCCTTCAAAAGAAACAAAATCCAAGGAGTCCTTTTCCCATGTTCAGGACATCCTCAAATCATGTGTCCAAATGAGGCTATGGCCTGGAGCCAAAGCGGATGGGCGGATGACACATGGAATGTCCTGTGGCGGAAACTTGAAATCTGACTGAACAAACAACACACAACACACCTTTGTTCAACTTCTCGGGTTGAAATGCTGTTTCCCCCTTTCTGGTCCAGGTCTGGTGTTTCAAGCCTTTTCTTCGGGAAAAGGAAGCAGAGGGGAGAGAGAGACGATGAGACAAAAAGGCTGGGGGTGGCGATCGAAGTCAAAGGACAACACGAATGTCAAATTCGGAAAAAAAATGCTGAGAGATGGCAAGCCCCTTTGAGTGGTAAGCCCAAACCAAAGAAGGGGTCGTCAATTTCTCAGTTGCCCGGACACAGAAATATATAAGGGTAACCAGTTGGCACCTGTACTAAGGACGGACCAAAATGGAAACCGAAAGGAAGGTCGCAAGGTCGGCTTTGGGCAAGTGAGATGTAGAAATATGTTTCGCTAGTTTCCCATGGCATTCTAAAACAAAAAAAAACGGTACCTTTGATATTGCGAACATGTGCAGCCAAATGCACTTGTGGCTTTCACTGATGGCTATGACGAGGCCAGGTGAACGGCGACACTCACAAACAAGTCAAACACTTGGGTCCAGGGGAAGAGTGAGACTCGCAAACCAACCCCAGTTACATTTAGTGACCGCAAAGCTCCATCAACTCCAGCGTTTGACTTCTATTCAACACTCCAGGAGTGCACTACAAGGAAGCCAACATCTGCGAAAACAAAGGAACTAAGAACCACTCATATTATGTGTCATGGGTGCTTTTTTTTGTGGGTACTCTTTGTTGTGGTTTGAAAGGGAAACTAAAGGAAACCCACCATTTGGGCGTCCCCGAAACAAGCCACAATCATATAAATCTCTCTCGACGAGAATACCACGCCTCCAGTTGCCGGACTCTTGAGCTACACAAACGAATGCTTCAAAGGCAGAAGAACAAACCTTAGCAAAAGATCTCCGACACAAAGACCGCTACAACAACCTGCTGGTTACTCAGGAAGTGAGCTCTCCCTTGTACTTGCAACATTGGTAAACACATCGCGACACCTCACCTGTCTTGACTGACTGTTGCGGATCTTTTGCAGCGGCATGACCGCACGGTTCCGTCCCGTCAGTCGTACTCCACCTATCAGGCGGCACAAAAACGTCCAGTAGAGCCCCAGTACCTTCGCCAAAACCCATGGTCAGTTGGTATATCCTCAAAAGCCCAACTCTGAATGATAGCTCAACCTGCAGAGATGTGTTTATGCAAGGATGATAGCGCTGGTTGACACTCACTTCAGTCTGCTGACAAAATCCTCCGGCAGTCAGGTGAACTGTCCCGAAGTTCTACAGATGTATCCATCCCAACTGGTGCGAAGCGGAATTCGTCCATCAGTATGGGTGAGCTTGCCCCATCAAATTCCCACTTTGATGTTTACTATAGTACTTCATCAGACTACCCATGTAAACATGCCATCAGTTTAAACACAATGTTTACTACTCATACTCCAAGCAAGGTTCGCAATGGGATCCGCACATGTTTCCCTCAAACACATCAGACCCTAGGTGAATGGAACCTTTCAGAGGCCAAGTTTGATGTTGCCTTTAAACCAACTATACTCATGGGATTGCAAGGTCCAAACTAGGCCCTTGAGAAGTCAAGCATCTATGAAATATACTCCAATCCAAGCTTGAAGTCAAGAATCAGCCATGCCTCAAGAAGGCAAACCCCTTATTGCCACTCAGGAAGCTGCATTCCGTGCTTAGGTGTTGAAAATTAAACTGAACGTTTCCAACTGCTCGGGCTGCGATCGCTGCTTTCGCAAAACGCAAGATTGGCGCCTAAGTGTTGGTGAGGAAAACTTCACAGGTAAACATGGCAGCTGACGGGTAAATAACGCATATCACGCAAGTTTCACGGGTATTTCACGAAATCTCACGCGTGCTGTTTTTGGGGCTGCAGATTGGACTCCACCAAAAAAGTATATTGGCCCTAGCACACTTAATACTGGCGCTGCTAGGTCAGCAACAAAGTCTTTGGGTCAAGCAGCCCCAACTTCGGCCTGCCAGTTTTCGACTAAATTTGAGAGACCCTGAGGGGGATGCCCTACAACGATGAATTAAGGAACCATCCTCAAACCAAAAAAGCTCGTGTCCCTCAAATCAGGGAGCCTTGCCGGAAAACCTGCTGCAGATACAAATGACGGCTCCAAAGTCATGATCAAGCTAAAAAATCAGAGAACAAGTCGTTGGGATGCAAATAACGCAGTATTAGGGTCATCATAGCACTTGTTGGTTAAACACAGTCCTTCCAAAATTCGAAGTTAAAATTCAGCGTTGAAGATCCGGGATATTAATATGAGGCCGTTGTTTGTATTGTTTTGCAAACCGCACGCCTGCACTGTCTGACAAGAACAAACAAACATGTGCGCTTAAGTTCAAAACGATGACCTGTGGCGGCGGACAAGCTTAATTTATTTGATCCCCGCTTTCAGGCTGTGAACCACCCTGGAAGCGGCACTCGAGTTCTGTAGGTGCACTACATCAAGTTGTTGTGGGTCTCTCTAAATCACATACTTGGGTTCAGTTGTTGCTTTTGTGTTGCAAAGCGCAGTGCAAAGCACAAAGCAAACACATTCAACCCACAAAGCAAACACAACAAAGAGAAACAACAAACACTCCTAGCGCTCCTAGACTCATACCGCCTCCTTCAATGCCCCCTCTCTCAAACGAACGAATGCGTCGTGCGACAAATCTCTGCGGCCGCGGTGCGTTCAGGCGTCGCCGGCCCTTGAGGCTCAGGTGCCGGAACCTCATGACGCGGTCTCGTTTTTTGAGGCGAAGGGTGCCCGGTGTTGGATGGTTTCAAGGGGACACCAACAGGAAACGACACAAAGGTTGGGGGTCCGAGTCCAAAAAAGCAACACACTCAAGTAGGCGACCATTCCGGGGTGTTCCCCATTGGAGTGTGCCTTTGTTTGCGGCTCGGTTCAAAGCCAGAGGGGTACACGTTCTGAGGCCGCAAATCAATGCTGGCAGGGGCTTATAGCCCTGGCTTCACCCCAATTTTGCTGTTGCTGCCACATGCATCACATTGAGAGCGCCTCCGAATGACGCTGTTCTTTGGGTCTTTCGACAGACATTCGTTCAGCTCAACCCACTCGCCGACCCTCAGCCTCTGATAGGTTCTGAGCGGCTTGGTTCTTGATTCGTCAAGCTTGCCATAGCCCATCTCTTCCACCCTGCACGCTATGTCCAACTTCAGGCGTTCAAACTGATTTGGCGCACACGTCTTCCGCAACAGTTTCGATGGCACTGGTATCACATAAACGGAAGGGAGGTTGAACAGCCCTCAAGGTACCCTTGTGTTTTGGTGGCTTGAAGGGGAACCCAAGAGGGAAGCATAGGAAAGCCACATTTCTTCGTTGGTGCGGGGCCCGGTCCAATGTCCAAAAAAGACGAGCCACCCAGCCGCACTGCTGTGTTTTGCCATAGCCGGGCGGGCCAACCGCACAAACCACTCCGCGGAGATACGCAAAGAGACGGTTCACCCGGTGGCCCAGGGGTCATTTGGGCCCGTTCTTGTAGGAAGAAAATGGGAAACTGCCCCTAACCAACAAACAACCGATCCAAACCGTGAGTTAGTGGAAAGCTGAGCTTTTGTGGAGAAAAGCAAGTCAGCAAATGAAGAAGATGAAGCAAATGCGTCAGCCTGCTCATCAGCCTGTACACGCTCCCTTTTGTGGAATCAAAGTAAACCAGAAGAACACAAACGCATGCGAGTCATAATCGATAATCTTGGACAAAAGCTTAAGGTCAACGATGCAACCCAATATCGTTCAAGATCTGTTCTGCTGACCATGGCTCCTTGGCTCGTCTCATAGCCCTGAGCCTCCGCACTTCTGCCCGACGCTGCCTTGCGAGGGAAGGCGCAAGTGACTTGGCTGAATGCTTCACTTGCCTGGGCTGGCCTTGCATCTGATCCCCTGCTAAAAGTTGTTCACTTGTGGGAAGTGGAAGCCCAACCACCAGGCCAACTACACACCTAGAAACCAAGCGGATGGCTGGGAACCACCAAGTGGGCACACGTTTCAGGAACCCCTGAAATGGAGCCCTCCGAAACAATGAAACCTTCAGGCATCAAAGGAACCCCTTTTTGAGGGACCCCTGTTGATTTGGGGCCCGCTGACTGCGCGATACTCCTGTCTCGTCTGCGGAGTAAGCTGCAACCCCAAAAACCAGGAATCATGTCTAGAGCTCCATCATGGTTTGCTGGTGTCAGTTTTTGTGAATCCGGCCAAACAAATGGCTTCGGCGGTCCTTTTCCCAAAAAGGGATTCCGAGCCTCAAAACAAAAACGAGCCACCCATTCTCTTTGGGTGAATTCTGAAAGGGACCTGTGAGTGTTC